ACCTGTAACCGAAAAAGACCTACCTTTTGTTAAGGAACTCTTCAGTTATATAAGTTATATGGTTAGGGCAAAAGGATGTAACAAAAAGGCAGAAAGGGTTGGGGTGAAGGGTTTCGGCACTGACACCCGGACACTCCAGGCGAGGCATGTGGTTCCAGGTCTTGAAACAGACTTCGGATAGGCCAAGCCTTTCAACACATCCCTCCTACAAGCACAACCTGCCCAGTTGGAGCCCACTTTATCCCAGGTGAACGGTTGTGCGAGCGACTAGGCCCCGCTCCCTTGACTGAGATGTTCATGGGGATCCCAATTTAAAGCCCTGAAAGAAAGCCAGATGGGGAGAACCCGGGGTCTACATTGATGACCAGAAACTCGCACACAGTTTTCACCCAACGGTCATAAGCAGAAAGGGCACTTTAAGCTTGTATGTTCACTCAATGATTATAGATCCCAGACGACACGATCTCCTGCATGTGTGGCGGGACATCCTCCACGTCTTCGTCTGCTTCGTTGCAAGGGCACTCACCTGACCGAGTCGGCTGGTAGATTCTGCCGCGCGATGCACCCGTGGGGGGCTTCCAGAGAAAACATGTCTACTGCATACACTAAGTGCAGTATGCTAGCTAGAGCGCTTGTTCGCTGCAGTTTCGCACTCACTCTCCCTCCGACTGTGGAGCCCGGCAGTGCGCCTTGAGAGTCCCTCTCCACGGTTGCTCGCCGCAACTCCTGGCCGGCCGCTCTCCGAGCTCTTCGCGCTCTAATAATTAAGGGATTTATCATATAATTCCCATAGTTTAGGGTCCTTCAGGTAATGCAGGATTTATGCGATCAACAGTAGTAGCCCAAGGATTGCAAGCCTGTTTTGGGCCCTACGGCCCTTCCTCCGCTCTCCTCGGAATTTACGAGGAGGAGCTCCGCTCCATCCTCAAAGTTGGAGCCAAAGGCATCTTCCAAAGCATCATCAGAGAGGCCAAGCCTCGACCGCAGATGACCGCAGCATCGTCTGCAAACTTGATTACCCCTGGGTCGTGACTCCCTTCCCGTATATCCCTGTCTCAGTGCTTCCTGTGGTTCTCAGTGTCTCCGAAAATCTCATCCCCAATCGGCCCAGTCACAGCTGCGCGCCCGCGATGGAGATGATGATGGCTCCAGCCTTCAGGAACTCATCCTGGGGGGGCTCGCCATCCAGGGCCTCCACGAGATAGCCTCAAAAAGTCTTCCTGTGCTTCTTCCTTCTAGTACTGGTTCTGCTTACTGATACACTACTTCGGCCGCAGATGCACATGATGTGTTGGCAGGAAGGCATCAACAAGCAATCTCATGACACGTGCTCCGTAGCAGGCTGTTGCTCCACCTCACGCCGAAGTTCGTGACGACAGTTGGCTCAGGTTGACTGTCCCTTGAATCATGGGCTGCAGTCTACGATCCTGAATCGGCTGACTGCCGAGGCATAGTCGAATATGAACTCCTTGTTCCCATTGCCTGGGATCTATTCCAATCTCCGGCGGTACTAGTATTAGGCGTTCCATGACGGCCCTGTACTGAAAGACATGCAGAGTTAGAAAGGGTCTACAGGTGTGTTGCCTCAGGCTTGACTGCAGCATAGGGCAAACATGGCCCGGACGAACCGTCCCTCTGGCCCTCTGGTAGCCAGGTAGCCCAGCTCCGTGGCCTCGAGGTGTAGCCCGGCGCCGCATGCGCCGACGCGAAGGGAGCAGCGACGGAGAGACCGCCAAGATCCTCGGACGGTAGGTTTTTGGCCATGACTTACACTAGCAATACTCAGAAGATGAAGAGGAAGAGCAATACTAACAACAATGCGCAACGAGTATCATGACTCTGAACGCCTGAAGAAAAGGGACTTTAGCAACTTTCACGACGACCAAGGTTCATCGGGCCCTGACTAGATAGAGCCTAGACGGGCCTAGACGGACTGACCGGCTGGGAGCCGGGCTGCCCGGGTAAGCTGCCTCCAGCCAGGGAGGCGCTGCCAGAACCATGAGCTCTGGGTCGAGTTCCAACGGTTGGTTTCCGCTACGTCTGGTTGAAGCTTGGCTGGGAGGCTCTGGCAAACTGCGGCCGGCTCAAGCCAGATGGCTGTGGCAGGCGGTCTTGGCACAACCTCGCCTCTACCTCTACTTCAAGCTTGTGCCTCACTTCAAGCACCGGGCCTGCTCAAGCTCGAGCTTTCGAAAGCAGGTTGATCGCGACCTGAGCACTTTGCAGACCAATCCGTCGATGCGCCAGATCACAGCAGCCAGATCCTTCGGGGATTTTTTTGGCATCGTCACACTGCTGTGGCTGGCCTCCTACTGCGCAAGCTTTGGCGGCAGTAGGAGGTTCTCGTTAGCAAAAGCCGCCAAAACGTAAGCAATCAAGTTGGCCATTGCTGGAAGCGTGGCGGCATCCTTAGTTGCAGGGTCGCACTTTCCGCCGTCCCCCCAGATGCGTCATCTCATGGCCGAGTCTCTTTGGGCGAAGAATTCCCGGAGTTGAGGATGCCCGGAGATCGCTCAACGGGCTGCCTGTTTCCGGGGAAGGTCCTAGCCACAGCCGCTTCAAGTCGTGGGTGCGACTTAATGATTTAGCGGAAACCACGTTGGTTTCCCCAGTTGGCTTCAGCAGCACTAAAGTTAGAAGCCAGAAGCCCCAGAGCTCCTGTGCCATTGCTTGGCGCTGGCTCCCGAGAAAGCATTGGCTCAGAGAAGAGCGTGCCTGTTGCGGCGGGGCTCCCCCTCAATCGCGACACTTCGTCAAAGCCACGCCTCACCTGAACCGCCCATATCTGGTTTCATACCCTCACGTCCCTTAAGCAATCATCTTCCCAAAATCTGAGAGACTGAGAGACCCCGAGCCTGTGAGCCCGGGGCGCCAGGTTGTGGGCTCCTCCTTGCTGACCTCTCGAGCGACCTCCTTGCTGGGCTCTCTGAAGCCCGAGGCTTCCAGCAACGCATGCTCCTCAAACAAAAGAGGATGGCAATTTTTTTTGGAATGGGGACTCTCCAACTGCGTTGGGTCTGCGCTAGAAGTGCGGGTCTGCTCCTGTCCTTCCGCAGCAGCTTTGAGCGCATCTCCACCATCTCGCATTGCAGGTCCCGGAGAGATGTCTCGGCGTCCTCTTTTGATGTCTTTTGCCGAGCTTTTTGTGCAGGCCGCGGTCCTGTCTCTTCTGGAGCTCCAGCTGCATGGCTCCCATGAGCTCGAGATGGAGGCCCTTGTCATTCTGGCTCGCAAGAACTCCGTGGAACTGCTTTTCCAGGGCACCTCCAGCAGTCAAATGAACTGGGACAAAGCGGGAATCCCCTGTCATTGGCCCAGTTCTTGGCTGGAAGCATGTGATGGCCAGCTAGCTCATCTGTGCGTTGTAGAGATCTGAAGGGCGCCTCCGACAGCGTCGATCTTTGCCTCTAGATCTTGGCGCGTCTTCTGCAGGAGAGACTCCAGCCGCTGCGTTGATTCCTGGCCGCCGTTAATTGTTGTTGGCGGACGCTGCGTGGCTTATGGAGCACCAACCCGGAGCGGGCGTTAAACCCTGTTTTGAACCCAGGCTCTGTGCTATCAGCTGGGCATAAGCCCCAATCTGCACGGAACCCTTTGTAGGACCCCTTTGCGAGCCTCTCGAATCCGCACCTCCGAGGCCACGCCCTCTGCACAGGCATCTACACGGAGTCTGAGACCGTCGAGCCACGCCTGCAAAGCCGGGTTTGAGTTAAGGAGCTGGATGGCTGGCTGGCTGGGCGGGGAGGTAGGTAGGCAGGCAGGCAGGCAGGCAGGCAGGCAGGCAGGCAGATAGGTAGGTAGGTAGGTAGGTAGGTAGGTAGAAACAGATAGATCTATATAGATAGGTATAGATTGGTAGATAGGTCGAAACACAACCTAATACCTACAGCCAGCGTTCCTTATTGTGGCAACCTGTCTTAAGTACCCGGACGTTCCATGTCGTGGCCTGCTCTGGCATGGCAGAGGCCTCTTTGATACTTCGGCGGGTGGCCTCGGCCCAAAAAATCAGAACCGCCCTGGCCGCAAGCAGACCGTGGCCCCAGCCTCCAAGCCGGCCTTGAGGCTGTCAACCTCGACTCAGGCGATTTGGCCAGCAAGAACCCCCCCCCCCTTCCCAAGAAGTCCGCTTGATGCCACGCGGCCGTGGCTGTGAGGGACTGGTAGCGTTGCTCCCAGTGCTCTGAGAGTGTGGACTTCGTCCGTGCCTCTGCACTTCTCCCTAAAGACTCATGGCTCGAATCAAACTTCCGGGTGCCTCTGTGGTGCCCTCAAGCTTGAGTTGGCTGACCTGTTACTGTTGGGAAAGGCGACAGCAGGTCGGGAGATAGGATAGAAAAACCATAGAAAAAAGCGTGGTTCACGGGTCAGTACGAATTTGACCGGGGATCTTGAACTTGGGAGCCTCCTCCCCCCCGAACCTGGTTAGACAGCTCGGTCCGCAAGCCCGCGAGCTCCCGCTTCAACTCGGTCTGCATCTGGCACAGGTCCTCTAAGCCTCGCCGAACAGAGGCTTCTGTTTTTCTCACCGTGCGGAAGGCAAGCCACCTGCGTCAAGCCACGACCCCGTGATGAATCGCAGAAAAGACACGGTTTGCGCTGGCGGCTGAAACTCTTGCCGCAGGTAGTCTTGCCTGTGGCTGTTTGAAGACTTCTGCATCCTTCTGCTGACTGTGACGACTCACGGCCCCAGTCGCTAGCATGTTCGCGAATCCCTTCTGGCCTGTATCTCGTCCACTTTTCGCTGCAACTCCATCTGCCAACTTGGCATTGGGTTGAGCGGCACTGCCTCTTTGACAAGCGCATGCACGTCTAGGTACGGGCCAGACCCAAGAAGCCGAACCTGGAGGCCCCTGCACGACTCTCTACATTGATCGGGAGAAGCAGACGTGGTGTGCTCTCATCTAGAATCCCAAACCCCTCCATGCCAACATGACTCGCTCCTGCGCGCGGAAAGACATGTATCCACCTCTGTCTAGATATGCACATGCATCTGTGTATCTGGATGTGTCTGTATGCATGTATGTGTACATGTGTACATCCTTTTGCATCCTTTTTTGCATCCCTTTTGCATCTACCAAGACAAAGCCAAGGGAGCGCCTCCTTGGGTCGAAGCTGCCCTTCGACAGCCTTGGCTGCGGGCCTTTGTACCTCCAAAGCTCTCCAGGGCTCTGCCAAGCTCTGAGAGCGCAGACTGTCTACTGAAGCAGACAGAGCGGGCAAATTACCTCTCCCCTGCGGCCAGTCAGCAATTCGAAGGGGTGGGATATGGGATATGGTGGGATCAAACCCTGTCATAGTTATCGTCTGACAAGCGTTCTGCGTGGCCATGCCGGCCAAAGCCCCGAATGCTATCGAATGCTAACCTCTCCCAGCCCTTCCCCGCCTCACAGATCGCGGTGCTTACCTCATCCTGCAGATTCCGGCGGCGTGCCTTTCCAAGGCGAGAAGACACGCAACTCCTAAGGCGTTCCTGTAGAGGCCAAGGCTGGGTGTTTCCCTGTTTCCACGTTTCTCGTTAGCTGGGCCCTCCAGCTTGAAAATTTCATTCACCAACAGAACCGAAGCGAAAACTTGTTGTTTGCTTCTGAGCGTTGGAGGAGGTGCGTGTTCTTCCATGGGTTTAACACGGATCGTAGCAAAGGGGAGTTGTCTGGGGGCAGCTGCCAAACCTTGCTCAATGTATCGAGGTTGGTCCGTTGGCTCTTTGTGGCTCTTCGCATCATCGCAGTGCTTGTGATGGACGGACACACGGCCCCACACGACGGCGCAGATCAACTTTGATCTCTGCTGTTGAACTTCGAGAAGCCAGCTCGCCAGGATTGCTGGGAAGCTACTCGAAGAGCTTCACCATGCGTGGCCGTGGCTTCGAGAGGGCAAGGGCTGACGAGGTACTCGCCGAAGATCTCGTAGCATCCGAACACGTCTTTCAGCTCCATCATGCATAAGTTTAAACGGCCCGAATGGCTGTAGCCAGGAGGGCACGTCCTGACAGCGCTTCGGAACGAAGGCCGTCGACTCTTTCATCAGAAAAGCTGCACAGTCGAAGAAGAGCGAACGTAGACTGGGCCACAGTTGAGGCTCCTTCCTGCGGACTTCATGGCTGCCGCTCACGCCGGCCAGCCGACCCTTCAACGTCAAGAACTGATTTAAATTTACTGACTGGATCCACTAGTTTTGGTAGCAACGGTGCACTGGCACTTGGACGCCAGGTGAGCTTGACAACCCTAATCCCGAAACCCTTTTCTTGAACCCAGACTCTGCCAATCAGCTGGGAAGCAACACTTCCAAAACTCCTAGCCCCGAAACCCTAAAACCCCATATGCAAAATAACATCATAACAATAATCTTTAACTATCAGCAGTAATTATATCTAATATTATTATTATTACTATAAAATAAAACAAAAAAACAACAAAGAAACCTAGAGCCCCCCCGCCTCGGCACAGGCCTCCCATCGGCCAACGAAGCGCTCGAAGGCCTGGGCAGAGAGCCCTGGAAGAACTTCCGAAAATCCTGGGTTCCTGTTAAGGGATTTAATTTAAGTTGCCATAATAGGGATCTCTTGTAAATGATATGGGTTTCCTCATCGTAGTACCAGAATAGGGATCTAAAGTACATGATATGGTTTCCCCAGTCTGGTAACTTGAGTTAAGCCCCTTAACAAGAGCCCAGAATCGGCACTCGAAGGACTGGCCAGGAGCCCGGCTAGGCTTGCAGTTATCGGGTTTAGGGTTACAGGGTTACAGGGTTACAGGGTTTAGGAGTGTCAAGTGGAAGTGGCTCCGGTTCTCTGCAGGTCGTTCTGAGCCATTCTTCGTTTCTCCGGGCCCGCGGGGGGAGCTGTACCTGCCCGTCTCAGCTTTCTCTACATCATGTGTCTACTTACGATGCTGCAGACCAGGATCTATGACACAACTCCTAAGCGTCGCAGCCTTAGGAACAGTGAACTTCGACCAGATCCACGAAAGGTCGGGAGTCAGGGGTCCCGCAGCCTTGCATTGCTGATGCTCCAAATCCTCCAGCTGCTCGTGCGAAGCCTCGCGGCGCGACCATGGTCTCGACTCGCACAGCTTGGTGCACGAAGTGAGGATTGCGAGATGACGCTGCGTGCCAAGACACACCGGGAAACAACAGTAACACCCTAGAACAGTCAGATGGCATGATTACCTCACCCTAATCTCTAAACTTTAAACCCTAAACCCTAAATCCTAAACCCTATGATGGTTCAGGGCTTCGGAGTTCAAAAAAGGCTGAATGGCTTGCTTGTGCGGAGCACCTTTCGCCCCATCTCCGTGCGGAGCGTCGTCACTGCATCCGCCATGGCCTGCAAGGCTGCGTTGCTGAAGATTCTCTCGCAGGCTTCCCTCGACTCTCTGCAGGATACGTGCAACCAACAGTCGATCCATGAACCCTATCTATATGTATATATTATGCATGTATGCATATGGTTTTATGATGCATACAGGGACCCGGGGAAGTGGGTCCCGGTTTCGTCCCCCCCCTGAAGCTTAAATTCTGAAGCTTAAGTTCGGCGCCTAAATTCGGTTGGTGCTGGCTGAAGCCGAAATTCGGCTGACGCTCAAATTCGGCGCCGATATTCGATCCGGCAAACGCGTGAAGCCGAA